ATAGGAATGGATAGGAGATTGACTCCTTTAGTGATTTCTGGCGAGCCACATATAACTTAGTTGTCCATTTGAACTTAGTTCTTGGGATCTCCAGTCATCTAAGTAGGATTACCATTATGATGACTCTGATATAATAGGCTTTAATCACATTCCCCTCAATGAACTTTCCTTCATTTACTCTCTGGTCAAACTTTTTGTTTAGCGGACGCTATTTTTCGTTTAACCTTCTCAGTTATATATCATTGAGTAGTTAGTGGATCCATTATATTGTCCTTAGACAATATTCATAACTGAAAGCAAATGTCATACGGTATTAAGTCTTTGATTACATCGAGACTTACCATTACTCTATGTCACTCCCATTTCCAAATTTAAACAATAAACATAGAGTTGTTCCTTAGGAGTTAATGAAACCATATTTGCTTCTACTCCAACTTTGTCCTATAAAAAGAATTAAAATTCTTTGTGGACGTACAATCGGAACCGTTACTTTGGTAAAATCTTCCAAGCACCCCCACATTTTAAGCATTCCAAGGAAACTTTAATTTCTCTTGTTGGTGTATATAAAAAATATTAATACACCCCCACAATTCTGAGATAAACCAAAATATATTAATTGGTTTGCTTGAACTAAATAACAAGATGTAAATTGTTTTGTGAATATAATCACAATACTAATTTGTCTAAAATACAATTAGACTTCATAACTTTCTTTTGCAGTACAAAGGAAAAATGGCTAATACTGGTTGTGACCACAACACTATCAAAAACATTTCTTTAGTCAAGCATTATTTCTTTTTGGTTAACTGCAACCCTTAATTCCAATCTCAACATGAAATAAAAATATCACTGTGTAATGACATTTACATCTTATTTGTCTTATCCATTATTGGTGACTACGTCGACAATTACCAAAACGTCTTTCACCCATGAAATATTTTAACTTTATGTAATATTTAATTACGGAGTTATCAGTCACCACACCAATTCTTGTAAGAGCATTAGTTTCTGTAGTCATCAATTCGAAATTATAAAACAAAATTATAATTAGAATTTTATACTACACAGAAAATTAATCCAAATTCACAAAATTAAATTCTATAAAAATAAAAGAAACAAGATTATAACTTTTATTTCCAATTAATTTGAAAATAAAATAAAATTTATTTAGCTAAATTAATTCCACACCGAAAATTAAATTTCTGTAATTCAATAATTAAAATACTGAAACAGAATTTTAATTAATGAATACTCAAAAATTATTGTTGAAAATCATAATTAGTTTCTGACAAACTTCACAAATAAATATTCTGAATTGTTAATGACACCAGTATATTACTACTAGTTGTCAAATAAAAAAAAACAGTATATTACTATTATATGTCAAACAGTATATTACTACTATTTGTTTTCCAACCAAAATATTATTTTGTAAAATCACAGAAACTAATTTCTATAAGAAGAAGAAAGAAAAAAGAAAAAAGAAGAAAGAAGAAAGAAGAAAGGAAACAAACGAAAAATTATGTAAATAGAATAATTCGACTCTGTCTTAAGATTGTTGGAACAATCTTCTACATAGAATAAATAAATTGAAACAAATAAAATAAATTACGTACCAAATTTATTTTTACCGAACCAAACAAATAATTAAAAGATCAAGTCGAATGTAAGACACTCTGTCCTTAAGACAGATTCGCCCCGCTACGGTGTTTACGGATAAATGGCATCTATATCTCAGGACACAATGATCTTCACAAATTGTAGTAGCACTCCAAATAATTTGTACGGCGAACCAAACCTGTGTTCTTTACTCTCTTTATTTTTTTCCTAAAAATTATATGAGCTCAACAAAATCCTAGCTCTCGTCAATAACCTCCGCCGGAACCTGCTGCTGGTGCCTCCTCTACTCTACCTCTGTAAATGGAGCCGCTGGTGCTGTTAATCCTCACCACGGTTTTGCCCTGAAAACCTAGATTACCATCTTAAACTTCACCCACGGTTTACTCACCCAAACAACTCCCTTGGTTGATCCTCACCAACAAACGCTGAGCAGTCCCCTCTATGTAGACCCGGCACCATTCTCCTCTTATCTGAACAAAAACATCGACCACCAAAGATTTGAACGGAAATCACCCCTCAAACTCCCACTCGCACGGAGCGCTCGAATGAAGAACCTAAACAGCTCTGAATCCTCCACCCCTCAAACTCTCGCTCGCAGTGGAAGTGCCCGCATGAAGTTCCTGAACCAACCCACCCAAGATCAACAAACTCCCGCTCGCAGCCACCCTAAACCGAAACCCATGGCCAAATTTGAGCACCATGGCCTAAGCAGAGATAGATCTAACATCTCCCAAGGAAAACACAGCAAAAAACCCCAAAGAAAACCAGAGAGAACAGACCACCTAAACAAAAACGCAAAGGACAGAACAGCATCCTAATCAAATCTAGAGATTAGATCTGAAAAGAAGAAAATCGAAAAACAAAAGAGGGCTCAAGATTATAAGGAGAAACAACAACAAGAGGAAAAGCTAGGCCAGCCAACCGCCATGGCCATAAGGCGGCGGCCGACTGGCCAGCGGTGAGGCCCCGAGGTGGAGGTTTTTTAGAGAGAAAGAAAGATGTGCAATGACAGAAAAAGAAGAGAAGAAATGAAACCATATTTGCTTCTACTCCAACTTTGTCCTATAAAAAGAATTAAAATTCTTTGTGGACCTACAATCGGAACAGTTAATTTGGTAAAATCTTCCAAGCACCCTCACATTTTAAGCATTCCAAGGAAACTTTAATTTCTCTTGTTGGTGTATATAAAAAATATTAATACACCCCCACAATTCTGAGATAAACCAAATATATTAATTGGTGTGCTTGAACTAAATAACAAGATGTAAATTGCTTTGTGAATATAATCACAATACTAATTTGTCTAAAATACAATTAGACTTCATAACTCTCTTTTGCAGTACAAAGGAAAAATGACTAATGCTGGTTATGACCACAACACTATCAAAAACATTTCTTTAGCCAAGCATTATTTCTTTTTGGTTAACTACAACCCTTAATTCCAATCTCAACATGAAATAAAAATATCACTGTATAATGACATTTACATCTTATTTGTCTTATCCATTATTGGTGACTATGTCGACAATTACCAAAACGTCTTTCACCGATGAAATATTTTAACTTTATATAATATTTCATTACGGAGTTATCAGTCACCACACCAATTCTTGTAAGAGCATTAGTTTCTGTAGTCATCAATTCGAAATTGTAAAACAAAATTATAATTAGAATTTTATACTACACAGAAAATTAATCCAAATTCACAGAATTAAATTCTGTAAAAATAAAAGAAACAAGATTATAACTTTTATTTCCAATTAATTTGAAAATAAAATAAAATTTATTTAACCAAATTAATTCCACACAGAAAATTAAATTTCTGTAATTCAATAATTAAAATACTGAAACAGAATTTTAATTAATGAATACTCAAAAATTATTTTTGAAAATCATAATTAGTTTCTGACAAACTTCACAAATAAATATTCTGAATTGTTAATGACACCAGTATATTACTACTAGTTGTCAAATAATAAATATTCTGAATTGTTAATGACACCAGTATATTACTACTAGTTGTCAAATAAAAAAAAACAGTATATTACTATTATATGTCAAACAGTATATTACTACTATTTGTTTTCCAACCAAAATATTATTTTGTAAAATCACAGAAACTAATTTCTATAAGAAGAAGAAAGAAAAAAGAAAAAAGAAGAAAGAAGAAAGAAGAAAGGAAACAAACGAAAAATTATGTAAATAGAATAATTCGACTCTGTCTTAAGATTGTTGGAACAATCTTCTACATAGAATAAATAAATTGAAACAAATAAAATAAATTACGTACCAAATTTATTTTTACCGAACCAAACAAATAATTAAAAGATCAAGTCGAATGTAAGACACTCTGTCCTTAAGACAGATTCGCCCCGCTACGGTGTTTACGGATAAATGGCATCTATATCTCAGGACACAATGATCTTCACAAATTGTAGTAGCACTCCAAATAATTTGTACGGCGAACCAAACCTGTGTTCTTTACTCTCTTTATTTTTTTCCTAAAAATTATATGAAGAATAATGCAACTAAAGACCAAAATTGGACAGCAAAAAGGAATTTTCCAGACTTTTTTTGGATGTCAAAGACTGCTGAAATGGCTGGTATATATAGGCAAATTAATCTGCCGAACAGGTGCTATTTTTGAATGAACAGATGCAAAATTTAAATTGAACAGATACAACACTATTTCAATGGATAACTGCTGGGCAGTTAAATCTGTTGAAACTGCAGTAGTTTAAAAAACCTGTCTGGCAGATTTGAATCTGTTTGGGAAAAACAGATATGTCCGGGTGCAACAAATACTGTTTGGACAGTTAATCTGTTTGAAAAAATGAACTAAAGAAGTAACAAATGGACAGAAAAATTAAATTCAAAAATGAATTAATTTCGATAAGAATTTTGGGAAAAATTCAAATGAATTTTCTTCAAAAAATTAATATAAGAACCAACCCACACTGGTGCCCGAACAAACGGACAACGGCAGCGAGCGTGTGTGGTGGTTTTAGCCAAGGTTCTATTTGTCCATAATTCCTCCATTTTACAAACTTGGGGTGCCCCTTGGGGCCCAACCCAAGTGTTGTCACCTAGAACTTATATACACGCATAAGTTTTCTTTAAGTTTCAATGTGGGACAACCCATTTCAAGGAAACCCACATTTACTTCTTTAAATGTCTATTCCACGAACTTGAAAACGATGTCAAGTTCTCATTCACTCATAAATGATTTTGATGAACTGTCTTTACCGTGTGACTTGCCATGTGGAACGAAATACGTCACCTCTTCGAACCCACCTCAAAAGACATGTGGACCCCACTCTATTTTGAATACAAAATTAGCCCACAATAAGCCGATAAAACCAAATTTACAACAAAACTTCATGGACAGACTAGTTAAAGCAGAAGTAAAAGAAGTAAACCTCACTTTCACCAGAGGCCAAAAGTCCACTGCCACTTTCAGGCTAACCAACCTCATGCACACCATGTTTGTAGCTGTTTCTCTCTCCACCACAAACCCATCTTCTTTCTCCTTCCCCAACCCTTTCTCTATCCTCCCACCTCTGTCTACCTCCTCCTTCACTCTCCACCTCTCTTCTGATCACCCACCTCTCTCTTCTCTTCCTGACACCATCCTTGTCCGATCATCCATGCTCCCCACCGGCAAAGCCCATCAGGACGATCTTCCGCCGTCTGTTTTCCAAGCCCGGTGCACACATCTTTAAGGATGCCACAATCCCAATCTCTCTCGTAGGCCCTCATGTCATTGAATCTCTTTTCTCTCCTCCTTATAACAAGTCTCTTGAAGTTTCTTTTCTCTTGTCTAAAGCGATTCCTGGGTGTGATGAGTCTGAGATTATGAATTTGCTCAGATCTGCTACTGGGTTTGGAAATTCTTACTTTGTATCGGCTTTGATCGATGCCGGAGCTGATATTAATCATAGGGATTCGAACGGGCAGTCTGTGGTGTCACTGGCTGTTCAATCAGGGAATATTGATTCGGTTCAGGTTCTGATTGAATCTGGGTTTGTAATTGACCATTCGATTGATCGGTTTTTACACGATGCTGCAGCGATTAATCGAGCAGATTTAATGAAGTTATTGTTTCTGGGTTTTGGACATATCGATGTGAATTCAATTGATTCGCAGGGGCGAACTGCTCTTCACGTTGCGGCAATTCATGGGCATGTTGAGGTTCTTCGATTTCTTGTTTCCATGGGGGGTAATCCTGATGCTGTGGCCTATAATCGTTGGACTCTGCTTTATTGTGCTGCCTCCGAAGGGCACCATGAGGCGGTTGAGTTTTTGCTGAATTGTTCGATGTTTGTCAAATACGCTGTGAATGAAGATGGAAAGACGGCGTTTGCTTTGGCAGTCGAAAGGGTTACTCGCATTTGTACGATATGTTGCATTTGGGTGATGCAGTGCAGAGAGCTGCGAGGATTGATGATGTTCATGCGATGAAGAGTTGCATTGCGGAAGGAGTGAATGTGAACGGGAAGGATCAGAATGGTTGGACTGCTTTACATAGAGCTGCATTTAAAGGCAGAATTGAGAGTGTTAAGACCTTGGTTAGTAATGGAGCTCAGATTGATCTTCTTGATGATGGTGGATACACACCGCTTCGTCGTGCGGTGGAGGGAGGGCATATGCAGGTTGCAATATATCTGATGGCTCATGGTGCTAAAGCATATGTTGTGAAGAGTAATGGTAGTCTCAAAGGCTTTGAGATCGTTCCTTTTAATTTGGATTGTTTCAAGAACCATCCTTCTCTTGTAACTACTCCCCTATGTTGAGAGAAAGAAAGAGCTTGATTGTATGAATTAATAGCAAAAAATTGTATATAATTTTGGTGATTTTTGTGTAGTTGGTATAGTGTGGGTGGTCTTGCATAGCTGGGGAGGTATAGAAAGAGAGTGATTTGTGTTCCTCTCTCAAACAGATTGTACATCTGAGTATTCCAAGGGGACTTGTGTGATCTTCAGACCTTCATTTCAGTCTTGTGTACATTATTGAGGATGTAAATTTATCCAAGCCCACGAAAAATGAATCAAGGTTTTGTTTTGAAGCTTCTGATTTTGTTCAAGATTTTGACTCGTTTTCCAATTTGTGCAATTCCTTTTTTGGTTTTCCTGGGCCTCTTTTGGGTGGCTTATAAACTAACTAATGATTTATTTTGGTCACATTTCCTCTTTACTTTTTATGTATTTTTTTTAATAAGTCAAAAAATTAGCTTATAAGTCACTTTCCAAAACAACGTTAAATTTTGTGGACAAATAAGATAAAATGGGGTCTAATTTGTAAATCTTTGTTAATTTACTGAACTAGCTAATAACCGGTGCAATTTTTTTTTTGTTATTATAATTGAACCAAAATATAAATATAAATATAACTGTATAAATTAAAAAAAAAAACACTTTAATGTATTAAGCTCATCACTATAGATTTATTTATAATATTGGGTTTACCTAATTTACTGTAATTTGATATTTAATTTATTATTTATTTTAATATTATGTTAAATTATTAATCACTAATTCATTCAAAAACTTAAGAAGATGACTATTTTTTCTTTTTTCTTTTAATTGTCATCGACAAACTAATGTGAAGGTGTTTCTTGAAAAGGTAAAAGTGGTTGCCCAACAATGAGATTGCTTAGAAAGAGATACCATGGTTTCAAAGCCTAAGCTTGACCTGACCCGAGTTTTCATTTTCCTTTTACATTTCACCAAAACGAGGTCATCGACAAAAACTTTTATTTTGGAAGGAGCAATTTTATAACTCATGGGGTCAAAGAAAATGTTGTGAAGAGCAGTAATATTAGTCTCAAAGGCTTTGAGATGGTTCCTTTCAATCTGAACTGTTTCAAGAACCATCCTTCTCTTATAACTACTCCTTTGAGAGAGAAAAGCTCGATCATATGCTTGATCGTTGAGTTGTATAGTTAATAATCACGTAAATTTGTATATAAATTTAGTGATTTTTGTGTAGTTTGTAGAGAAGGAGGTGGTTGTGTTTCCCTCTTACCAGATTGTACATGGGAGTCCATGTGGGCTGTGTGTTACCCTAAGATCTTCAATAGTCTCTGTACATTATTGAGGATTTAAATTTATCCAAGCCCATGAAATGAATTAAGGTTTTGTTTTGAAGTTTCTGATTTGTGTTCAAGGTTCTTCACTGTTTTCCTCTAAGTCCCATTATGGTACAAAACTAGTATGGTCATTATTAGGTACCATATTAATTTTTTTTATTAGTGTGGTCATTGTGATTCAAGTGGGAGTTCAATTTTGTATAATGTGTGAATAAAATACAAGTTTTGATTGGTTCAAAAATATATAATCTGTAATTTTAAGTGAAATCAGTACATTTTTTAAATGAGAGACTTACTATTTTGAATCAATCAAATTTTGTGTATTGTACTCTTAAAGTGTGTGAACAAATTTATTTTCCGTTATGTAGACTAGTAAATATGATCAATTTCATTGGAAAGTGTTATATTGTAATAAGTTGAGTCAAATTTAATGGTAAGTAGGGTCAATTTCAATGATAAAGAAAACAACAAAAATCACCATTTTTTTGGTTGAGAAAATTACGTTGTTTTTGTATCTTGTTTACTCGTTACTAATCTATAGGGTCAATTTCAATGATAAAGAAAGCCACAAAAATCATATCTTGTTTACTCGTTACTAATCTATAGGGTCAATTTCAATGATAAAGAAAGCCACAAAAATCACCAGTTTTTTGGTTGAGAAAATCACATTGTTTTTGTATCTTGTTTACTCGTTACTAATCTATAGGGTCAATTTCAATGATAAAGAAAACAACAAAAATCACCATTTTTTTGGTTGAGAAAATTACGTTGTTTTTGTATCTTGTTTACTCGTTACTAATCTATAGGGTCAATTTCAATGATAAAGAAAATCACAAAAATCACCAGTTTTTTGGTTGAGAAAATCACATTGTTTTTTTATCTTGTTTACTCGTTACTAATCAATGCCCGATAAAAAAAATTACTCATCATTTTTTTATTTTTTATTTTTTATTTTTTATTATAGAAAAATTCTATATGAAAGGATTCAAGAGTAGCAAATTAATTTTCTTTGCATGCAGTGACGAGGGGTAGGTAGGGGATAGGTGGCTACCTGTATGAGGGTGGGGAGGAAGGAGGAAGAGAGACAGTCTAGTTTTTTTTTTCTTTCTTTCTTGGGCTTAAGCAAAATGACATGGTTTAGTGCAAAACAATACTGCAGGAATACTCTTGGGAGGGAGTACTCTAGAGGATTTGAACACTCCTCCTTCTCTCCTTCCTCCTCATTGTCAATGACATAGACACAAAAACAGAAACTTCATAGAACCAAAATGTCAATGTCCTCCTCTGCATAATGACGACGCCCTCTTATTATATATACAACCAATCCTCTCTGCCCAATACCCACTGTAAGATTCCTGAAAGCTTTTCTGTATATTCAATTGTATTCAAGATTACAATCAGACCTTAGATTATATAGCCCTAAATCCTAAACCAAAAAAGGAAAATACAAATACAATTATGTCTCTAACAGGACTCTAACACAATCATGCCTCTAATAGGACTCTAATTTGTACAAAACACACAATAATATATTCTATATTCTCACACCCTCGCTCAAACTCAAGGTGTTTTAGCAGAAAACACTGAGAGTTTGCTAAGAAGAAACTGAAACCGAGCGGTAGTGTGAGTCTTGGTGAAGAAGTCCACAAGTTACAAAGCCGAAGGGATGAAAGGAGCAGTGGCATGAGCCGTAGCACGATACTTAGTTTCGGCAGTAGAGCAAACAACGACTGATTGTTTCTTGCTTTTCCAAGAGATTAAGGAATCTCCAAGAAACATACAGAAACCAGATGTAGACTTACGATCAGTAACATCACCGGCCCAATCAGAGTCAGCATAGGCCACCAAGTCCAAAGAGGAAGTAGAGAACAACAATAAGCCCTGAAAGATGGTCCGAAGGGATGAAAGGAAGTGAGATAGAGGCAGACTGCAGATACTGGCGAACAAAGTGACAATCTCAATATGTTTCGTCCGCTCATAAAAGACAGTATTGTGGGCAATCTGAACAGCACTGCGGTTGTCACAATAGAGAGATGTTGGAGAAGATTGAGAGACACCCAAATCAGATAAGAGACAACGAAGCCAAACAATCTCAGCAGTGGCATGAGCCGTAGCACGATACTTAGCTTCGGCAGTAGAGCAAACAACGACTGATTGTTTCTTGCTTTTCCAAGAGATTAAGGAATCTCCAAGAAACATACAGAAACCAGATGTAGACTTACGATCAGTAACATCACCGGCCCAATCAGAGTCAGCATAGGCCACCAAGTCCAAAGAGGAAGTAGAGAACAACAATAAGCCCTGAAAGATGGTACCCATGAGATAGCGAAGAACACGAACCAAAGCAGCCCAATGGGTAGAGCGAGGAGCAGAAACGAATTGACTAACCACATGAACAGCATAAGCAAGATTAGGGCGAGTGACAGCCAAATAAACTAAACAACCCACAAGCTCGCGATATAAAGTGGGATCATCCAAAGGGACACCATCAATAGAGTTAAGTTTCACATTAAGCTCAATAGGTGTATCAGAAACCTTAGTATTAATAAGACCAGCACGATGAATGACTTCATTAGCATACTTAGCCTGAGACAGAAAATAGCCTTTGGGAGAAGAAGCAACCTCAATACCAAGAAAATACCGTAATGGACCCAGATCCTTCATTTCGAAGGTGCGGAAGAGATGCTGCTTGACCTCAGAGATAGCAAAAGAGTCCGAGCCAGTGATGATCATATCATCCACATAGAGTAAGAGAGCAACAAAACCAACCAATGTATGTCGCAGAAATAAAGTAGAGTCGGAAGCAGAAAAATGAAACCCGAGCTCGGTAATAGCAGTCTAAAATCGATCATACCAAGCACGAGGAGACTGCTTTAGACCATACAGAGCACGCCGAAGATGACAAACCTGACTAGAGGGATGGCGAAGACCAGGGGGAGGACGCATGTAAACCTCCTCAATGAGATGGCCATTAAGAAAAGCATTCTTAACATCCATCTGATAAAGAGGCCAAGAACGAACAGCAACGACAGAGATCAAAGTACGGACAGCAGTCATTTTGGAAACAAGAGCCAATGTCTTCTCATAATCAATACCATACTCTTGAGAGAAACCTTTCGCAACCAGACGAGCTTTGTAATGCTCAAAAGAACCATTAGAATGAGTCTTGACTTTGTAGACCCATTTGCAACCAACCAGGTTCTTATTAGCAGGCAAAAGAACAAACTCCCAAACTAGTTTTCTGTAAAGCAGACAACTCATCATCCATAGCTTGAACCCAATGAGGATCCTGACAGGCCTCCTTGTAAGACTGAGGTTCTACAAAAGAGTGAATAGCAGACAAAAAGGTATGATAGGAAGCAGAAAAACAAGTATTAGACCAACCCAACTTGTTTGGAAGATGACGTGTTCGAGAAGGATATCGGTGTGCAGTAGGATCAGAGTCGTCAGAAGCAGAGGAAGTAGCAGCAAGGGCAGAGGCAACCGGTGGAAAAAGAGCCTTGCGACGAGAATAAACTAACAACGGAGGAGGAGAAGAAGCCGAAGAAGGAGAAGCAGCTAGAGGTATAGAAGGAGAAGATGGAACAAGCGCAGGGGGAACAGTGGAGATGTACTCATCAGACGAGACCTCAAAAGGAAATGGGTCAATGTGAACCAAATCCTCTTTGGAAACTGGAGCAGTGAGAGGGGGAAGCTGGAAGTAAG